TAATGGCCAGTTGCCAGACAAGTATCAGTACTTATTAGCTTATAAGGCTTTATTATCAAGTTCGTTTGATATAATTGATACAATATACGCTGATTATAGTTAAATTACAAACACATTTGTTTAATTTGACAAATAAAGATTGAAAAATTTAAACTTTACATTAAAAATTATTTATCTATCTAATATGTGTTTAGATTAATAATATAATTAATTTATAATTAAGTTGCAACAATTGCTTATTACACTTGTTTTAAAATAAATTCACAAAAAAACTTAATCCAATGCTTTTTCTTACGAGCATATAGTACTTACTTATTAGTAAAATTTTAGTCCTTGGCTGATTTTTGAGATAACTTTTTAATCTAACATATCCGAATTTATTGATTTATATCGATTAATATAACTTATGACTTATTCCAACATAAAATAATTCTTAAATAGAGAATATATTTTGCTGATAAAAATAGTCATTACTCCAAATCCCGAAGTCCTGCTGTCATATAGACGCCACTCACAAACTAAGTGCATTTATATTTATTTAAAAAGTTGACCACACCAGCGCAGCCCACCTGTCTATTAGCCAATGGCCATTGTTTATTACAATTAATTAACTTGTGCATCTAAACAATTTATTGTTAGTTGAAAAGTGCTAACCCATTCTTCATAGCTGTTATACTAGCATGTATAAAGAATGTTTAATTTGTGTACTGTACAAGAAATTACTACAAATTATTAATATTGAAATAAAATTTCCATATCATTAAATTGATAAATAAAAATATTATACAACAGAAATTTTCCGAAAATATAATATACGACAAATTACAATTAATCAGTTAGTTTAGCGTTTATAATACATTATTCATGCTAAACTGTCTGAATAATTAAAGTTTCCTTTTATGAATAATTCATTATTAGTGATATTTGACAGATTCTATATGAAACAAATGGTTTACTAATAACTAAATTGCATAAATAGATCCTAAAGAGCGATAATTATTTAATAAGAGCTAAATAATATACTACTGAATAGCACAACATATTTGTTTAGTAATTACAGAATTTAAATATGAAATCGTACATTTTAATTTTAAACGTGATATTAGTTGGCACTGTATTGTACGGATCGGTTAGCGGCAACAGTGTCAAGGAGTTCGCCGACTGTATCGCCAAAAACTTAGGCTATGAAAGCACACCAAACGAAGAGGAATGGGTGGCCATAGATGTGGCTCAGGCACGAGGATTCAATGCCTTAAAAAGCGATCAAGATAACTATAATTACGCCATGAGAACTGATGTTGCTAATTTTTTCTCTGTTCTCGCGCGAGTGATGGAGGGCGAGAAGAATCACCAAGCTGATCCAAATACTAATTACAACAAACGTCAGTCACGGCTCCAGGAGATGCTCAAAGCTATGGCCTCTTTGTTGCTAATTTTTTCTCTGTTCTCGCGCGAGTGATGGAGGGCGAGAAGAATCACCAAGCTGATCCAAATACTAATTACAACAAACGTCAGTCACGGCTCCAGGAGATGCTCAAAGCGATGGCCTCTTATACTAAAACAATGTTTGAAAAAGCGCCAAACTCCGCGTCGGGTCACGGCTCAAATGACCTAGAGCTTGTTGTTAACCAATATGATGTTATACTAAAGGATACACCCGACCTGATTAACGACGAGACCCAGCTCATTTATCAACGATGTACTCGTGATTGGTATCAAGACGTGGGCGACAATCTNTGACCTAGAGCTTGTTGTTAACCAATATGATGTTATACTAAAGGATACACCCGACCTGATTAACGACGAGACCCAGCTCATTTATCAACGATGTACTCGTGATTGGTATCAAGACGTGGGCGACAATCTGAGCGCTGCTCTAAATGCTAAGATAGCGGCACATCTCGGCAATGATGGCCAGTTGTCAGCCAAATATCAGTATTTACTGGCCTATAAGGCATTAATGTCGAGTTCGTTTGATATAATTGACACTATATATGCTGATTACAGTTAAATTTCTAACAGCATGTCATTTATTTATTTACAAATATTGTTTTTTAAATTAATATATTTCAGAAGAGTTTGAAATAAATTAAAAATTAATTTTATTTATTCAAGCTTAAATTAAATTGTTTTTTACTGCATTTTTATAAATATAAATTAAACTATAATTTATTAATTAATCTGAAGCAAGATTATCTAAATGTTAAATGCATATTTATTTAAGTTATTATTATTGTAAGTGTCTAAATTGTTGATGGATAACTAATACAGATTTTGTTTTGTAGAAATTCAAATAAACATATATTGTTGTAAAGTATACATAAAAATATAAATCATCAATGTAATTTACTTAAAATGTGATTGTTTATTTTAATATTGTTACGTTTAAACTGCTGGCAGTGTTGACCAGTGTCTAAACAATGTGTGATAGGTTCGGGTGCTTTGCGGCAACCGGTTTCAATTATGTCCACCGTATTGACACAACAAAACAATTACGCACTTTATTGGGACTAAACATACATTGAATAATATTACATGAATGGCGATATGCATAAGAGCTCTTAGTTTAGGATTACATATATTTGGATGCAATTAACATAAATATTAATAAGTAATTAATATAATATTGAATATAATAATAAGCAGTAATTAGATTTTTTGGAAATATGCCGTATAATAGGTATATATTATAATAGACATAATAATTGTATTAAAACTAATATAAGATTAGATTAAAACTGCATTAATATAAAAATTTTACATTATGAACATTTTGTTGATATTGCTAATGTTTTGTCTGATTGCCATAGTATATTATATTATAAATGATTACGATTGTTGAGCACAAAATCAAGTTGTTAATTTGAATAATGAATTACAATTAACTGTCATAATTTAAAATAACAATTACATAATTCCTCATAAAACTTTTGTGATTTTTTGTTTTAGATTCTTAAAATTCAGATCTAAAATGTTTATTACAATTTAATAAAATGTCAGAAAATAATTATTTGTAATAATTCAATAATTCATTTAATTAATTAGTTTTTAGTTCCAGTAATATCTGACAGTTTCTTGGTCTAATAATCACCAGATCAAAATATATTAGTTTATTTACATTAATAATAATTATTACTTTAGGAATATACCAAGATTGTAAACATATTTAGTAAAATTCACTAAATATGAACTTGTATATGTTACTAATCACTAACTTGAAAAATGATCTAGTTAACTACAATTACGCCATGAAAACTACTGTTCCCAACTTTCTTGTTGGTGTGACAAAAGTGTCGGGAAATGAGAAAAATCACCAAGCTGATCCAAACTCCAATTATAACAGACGTATATCATAGGTTCAGGCAATACTCAAAGTTTCGGCCACTACTCTAAGACAACTGTTTGCCAACACTCCTAACGCTGCATTTGGTCACAATTCAGATGACCTAGATCAAGTTAACAGTCAGTATGACATTATACTAGCAAATACGGCCTAATCTGATTAACAATGATACTCAATTGGCGTATCAGTATTGCAATCAAGCATGGTATAAAAGTTTTGGCAAACAAATGATAGAATTTGTAAACATTCAGATATCTGGCCGTCAGAGCAATAATAATCAATTGCCGGCAGAATATCAATATCTGGAAAGCGCTAAAACAGAATTTAAAAATGCGTTTGGTCAAATTGAGCATATATTTTCAGTTTCTAATTGAAAAATTAACATTAAAATAAATCAGTAATTATGGTATAATATACTAGGTATGTATACTAGGTATACCTAGTATGTATTTTATAGAATACATTATGTACATTTACTAAAAAATGTCTAGACTCTAGAGTATTAAATACATTAAAATTATGTACTAAAATTGTATAAACATATTTTACAAAATTAATCATAGTAATTTTATAATTATTTATAGCTATGAATATAAATTATACAGTATTTTATCACAAATTATATTTATGTATTTAAGTTATAAGTTATAACATGTGTTTGAGAAATAATCTACGCAATTGAACGCTCAAAACTTTAATTGTTGTAATTAGCAAAACAACGTTAGAACAAAAACTTACATAATTTGTAAATTAAATTACATTAAAATATATCTATTTATATAATATGTTTTATTAAATTATACGATTATTATATTTATGTTTTTTCTAAACTAAATATTTATTAACAAATTTAAAAATTCTAATTTTTAAATAATTGTCAATAAAGTGTATTATTTAAATTATCTCTAACAAATAAAAATAAACAATTGATTAATGTTTAAATAAAAATCTTATTGTGAATTAATTTATCAAAAGTTCTTTAATATCTGGTTTTGATTTTTAAAAACATATCGATAAATCATAAAAAACAAAGTACGGTTTTGCGTTTAAGGTTGTATCTCCGTAGGTATTAGTTTTGGTAATTTGGAAAAATTTTATTCACGCTTATGGCAAAATTTTTACACTCACTTATATTTACTGGAAAAATTCTATCGCGAATCACACCAACTAATACATTTACACTATACTGATACATTCTTTAGTGTTGGTGAAAATTTTCACGTTTACTCACGATCACGATTTTCACATTAACTCACGCCACTAATTTTTTAAACTATACCCAAAATATAATTTGTTACATGGTAAATAGCTTATAAATGCTAATAATAAATAGATATAATTAAGTTAAATAAATATTAAATTATATGCGAAAGCCTAATGTTTTATTTAGTTAGTTATAATTATTATCTGGTTTCTCATTAAATAAATAGTGAGTAGCGTAAATCTCGTTCACTCACAGTGTCTAGAAAAATTTACACGCTCACTCATGATCACGGTCTGTGAGTGTGAGTAAGCGTGATTCACGCGTGAACGTGACACGTTTACTAAGGCTAGTAGATTTAAATAATTAAAATATGAATGAATATTATGCTATTTACAGTATATTAATTAATTTTAACTATTTAATGTGTTAAATTTCTATTTAAAAACATTACAATTAATCATGTTTTATTTTATACATTAAATAATAAAATTAGAAAAGACCAGAAGTAGACGTATGTAATGTATATGAAAAATAGGAATCTATTCTTCCTAAATACGATTCGTAAAACTATGTACTAAATTTCAAAATAACTTCAATTAATTACATAATCCACTTGCAGTAGACAATAAATGTCAAAAATACATTTAATTAATTACAATAACACTGTTTATAAACTGCGAATAAAATTCAATATAATAACAGAATTAAAATATTAATTCATGAATTAATATTAAAGCCATATTGTTGAAAATGAAATTTCTATACAATATACTTTTCGTAGCACTTGTTGCTGGACTCGTATTATGTAAGTCGGCATAAAACACGATTATTTTTGACAATAATTATATTTCTTATAATCATTTTTATAATCATTATTAAGGCGACTCATCCGACTCGTCCGATTCCGACTCTGACTCGTCGTCGGACAGCGGCTCGTGCTCTGGTCATAAACATCATAAAAAACATCATAAACACGAGGACAAAAAGCATGGCAAACACGATCATATTGTGTACGTACCCGTGCAGACACCCACCCGCGCGCCCACAGTTATCTATCGACCCCTTCCCGTTCAAACTTCGGTTGTACGCGTAGAGTTTGATCTGATCACTCTACTCATTGACAACGGGTTTGGCCAAGTGGTCCAAGACTATCAACAATCGTTGGTTACTCTGGGCACTAATATGCGCAGCTATTTTACCTCCATATACATGGATGCGGACAACTTTGACTTCTATATGAACGGCGATATGGCAGACATGTTGGACTCGTTGGGTCGCGGTTTGGCTGAGTTCCGCGCCAGACTTCGGGACCAGTCGTCCGACATTGTATACCATTGCAAGTTTGTGGAGGATGTGCTAGGTCAATTGAGAGACTACACTCGTCAAACGTTTAGCATTGTGGTGACTAAAGAGCGCGAGACAAAACACTGTAGCGTTTTTAGGGACACCAAACTGGCCGACACTCTAGTCACTTTATCGGGCAATTTTGGACAGTATATCACCGACGATAACGATCACGCTTTCCATCGGGTGCTCAACGGTTTCTACTCAGACATTGACAACGCTCTCAACCGCGCCCTAAACGCACGGGTGGTTCGCGTGAGCGCCGGTAGACAACTGCCCGTTCAGTACTCGTATCTCCAGGACTTTAGCACCGCCTGGAATCGTGTGTTCGATCGTATCAAGGTCACTTTCTACAAAGATCAACCCACAGCCTGTGCTTTCTAAAATACTTTAATCATGTTTTTGTTATTAATTAAATTGAAAATAAAAATATTTGTTAATTTGCTTTTTATGACAAACAAATTTTTGTTTCATACTTTGCATAACCATTTTCATAAGATTATGATGATTAGTGTCATATAAACTATATTAGTAAATTAAATAACCACTTCAACATAATCTGAGAAGTTCTGGTCGAATGATAAATTTAATATATTATCTCAATAATACAAGTTATAATTAATTAAATTAATTATTAAAATATAATGGAAGGTTAGTAGTAAGATGTTGACTAATGCTAAACATACGGAATTCATAATTAACAAATGGCTGCTTATTATTAAAAAAATAAGGTGAAAACCTAAACAATAACCATAATGAATCTTTATTTGCGCCACACATTGACTGTTGTGGTAGTGTTAGGAGTTGTGGTATACCCGGCATCGGGAGGAACCCTATTAGACGATTTTGGCAGTTGTTTGCAGCGAAATAAGGTTCAATTAGCGGCGGATCCCCACTCCCCGCACTGGATCCGAATTGGTTGGGGTCTGCGAGAGGCCATGGTGCATTACCTTAGCGACCCAGCTAACTTCAATTGCGCCACTTACAATGATATGAGACATTTTATGGGCGAACTATTACCAGAAGTGATGGATAAAGTGATCCAGAGGAGTAACCCGGGCTCAAAGTTTGCCACTAGGATGACCAACATTAAGAGACTACTGATTGAACTAGCTGAGTGGATTGAGAAGCACTTCCCAAACACAGTCAACTTTAATGCGGGCGACCCCCTGGCCTCGTACGCGGCTGTGCGGGGCTCGTTTCAAAAATTGATGATCGATGTTAGCGCTAAACTGACCCGGGCCCATGAGATGAGCTATCAAAAGTGTCTTATGGGCTGGTATTTGGTGTACGGCCACGAAATGCAATTAGCCATCGAGATCAACATGAGAGAGCACATGGATGAGGGTAAGCAATTGGCTCAGGGCTATCAGTATCTACGCGATTATGCTCACAAATGCGGTGAAACATTTAGAAAGATTTACGATTTGCTGTCCGGTTTTGAAACCGTAGATAATTTTCAAGCACAGAAACAGAAGTACGATGAAAACGATGATGAATGATAGTTTTAAAATAACGTATAACTTATAACTATAAGTAAATAAAAATATTATTAAAGTTTTAATAATAAGAATGCTTTTTATTAATTTTAAATTTTGGCAATATTTAAATCATGGGACATTTAGAAATGTGACCATGCTGGTGTTTTAGAATTGAATGGTGTAAACGACATCATCCGAGTTATAAGTGTTGAAAGTGTTGATAATGTCCACAAAGTCTGCGTTCCATTCGTTGTGAAAGTCCAACAAATAGGCGTATTTCGTGGGCACTCGACTCGCGCCCGCCCTAACGTAGTCCAGCTGTCGGTCGAGAGCGCGATCGAAAGCGGTGCCGATGTCGTGATAGAAGCCATAGAGAACGTGTTGGAATTGGTCCAAGTTGTCCACACCAACTGCTTCACCAAGGTTCTCGCTCAGTTTGACCAGGGTGTCGCCCAGTTTGTGCTCTCGGTAGATTGAGTCGTGGTGGCCCTCGTGCTCGTGTTTAGTGATCTCGTCAAACGATTTGCGCATATAGTCTCTGAGTTTGTCCAAACGGTTTTCTACCCTCTTCAGTCTGTCCCCAAATTGTTTGCTACCCTTATGACCAAGTTTGTCGCCAAAATGTTGCAGCCCTTGTCGCAGGTCTTTGAATTGGTCCAAGTTGTCCACACCAACTGCTTCACCAAGGTTCTCGCTCAGTTTGACCAGGGTGTCGCCCAATTTGTGCTCTCGGTAGATTGAGTCGTGGTGGCCCTCGTGCTCGTGTTTAGTGATCTCGTCAAACGATTTGCGCATATAGTCTCTGAGTTTGTCCAAACGGTTTTCCACCCTGGTCAGTCTGTCCCCAAATTGTTTGCTACCCTTATGACCAAGTTTGTCGCCAAAATGTTGCAGCCCTTGTCGCAGGTCTTCCAGCAATTGAGCAGCGTCGTCCTTCATGTTAAAGTCAAAGTTATCATGGTCGTTGGCCAGGTAGGTGAAGAATGAGCGCAAATTGTTGCCCAAATCGTACAAACGATCTTGGCACTTGACGGCCAATTCACCAAGATGGTTGTCGTTGAACAAAGTGATCAGGTCAAACTCCACGCGTACCACCACTGGCTGAGGCTCGTAGCGTTGGATGGGAACGTACACCACGTGGTCTCTGCCCTTATGGTTGTGCTTCTTATGGTGTTTATGACCGGAGCCCGAGTCCGAGTCGGACGAGTCGCTTGAGCTCGAGGACGAAGAGTCGGCTGTGAATTAGAAATATAGGCATTGAAATGAATGTGATTTTATAGCATTTAAATGCAATTACATACCGATTACGAGCCCAACGGCTAACGACAAGAATAAAATGTGGTATAATTTCATTATTAGATTAAAGTAGTAAACTTTATTAGCTTACTTACTTTTTTTGGATGATTATTCTCTAGATTCTCTATTGTTTATATACAATTTTGGAAAAAATTAATCATCATGATGTTTACGTCAATTTTGACAAGGATTTATGTGCAGATTTTTGACTCAATTCAATTAATTATTATATAGACAATTGTTACTATGATAGAATATTCATTGAATAAAAATACAATAAACGAGATTTATTGATTTAAATTTATATTTTATATAACACACTCTGGAAAATCTGCTATTTTTGTTGATGTGTCAAAACAACTTGTTGAAAAATTATCTACAACATTTTAAATGATAATTTAATATGATAAGTGTGCATTTAGCCACACATATTTTCTAATATATTTAATAAATTAATCAATTATGTTTCTATATTTATTAGTATTACAATGTATAGGACAATTGTCTAAAATATACTCGCAAATAATTTGATCATGGTACGATTCCATGTTTGAAGAAAATATTAATGATTTTATTAATAACTTGTAAAATTTCTTTCTAAAAAAAGTTTAAAAGCACCTCTTTGTTGTTCATTAATTTTATTAAAAATTTCAATTAGTTTTTGTGGATTTATTACAATTTCGTTAAAAATTTCACTAAACAATATTAATTTGAATTATTTATACTAATAAATATGATTAATATTATTTAAAACATATGAATAAATCCTTATTGGTAAAAAGCTTAGTAAAGTTGTAAAAACTTATTTATAAATTTTAATACAGAATTTTTAATTATAAAAAAGTAACATTTAATGTCTATATTGCAAAACATCAAGTTCGGGCATATTATTTATATTTTATGTAGATTTGATATATTAAAATAGCAATTTTAGAATATAAATTACACACAATTCAAAAATTTTTAGTGTGTTATATTAATAAAGTACTAGCCGTCGGCCCCGTCGACAAACTGTTACCCACTTCCTCTCCCATTCTTGTTTTCTATTCTCTTTTATAGTTTTCACCACCCTATCACCTCCCCTATTGTATGTAACTTTTATTTCAAGTTAATTAACGTAATCTTAAAATAAAATATTAAACTAGTTAGTTTTATAAATATCATTTAGTTTTATTTTAATTAAAATTATACAAAATAAAAATGTATAGATTTTGTTACTTAATAATAACAGTTGAAGTGAAACCTACACCATCTAGGCAATTTAATTAAAATACTAACTCGTTATTGTTTAATAATTGCTTTGAAATTTAATTAAATATGAAAATTATATTTATTTATTATGTAAAATAATTTTACATAACTTCGCAAACGTATATTTATCTAGCTGTCAATATATTCAGAAGTTATTGAATAATATAAAGATAAATTATTTATATGGAAACAATGTGTTAATGGCATTGAAATTTATATATGACTAAACATTATATAACAAAATATTCGTTTCTATAAAAATATCATGAATATATTATATGTAATCTTAGATGTATGTAGAAATTATAATAAATTAAATAAATAGTAATAATGTGACAAATTTGGTAATATACAATATAATAAAATATTTAATTAATTAATTTTTAATTAATCAATATATACTTTATGTAAATAATGTAAAATATTTATTGTATACAAATATGTTTTATAGAGTTTAAATATTTATTAGCATTCAAAACATAAA